TTTTTTTTGCTTGCACAGGTTGCACTATTAAAATTGAGATTGTATAAACCTGGTCAAAAACTGCAAGGTACCAAAATCTTGTAGATGTTAAATAAAAAGTTACCATCCTAACGAAGTGGACTCGTGCTTAGGCCCTCCCTGGGGACGTCCAGTACGAGTCTGGAGGGGACTCTGCAGGACGTGGCGGGGCCTCAGTTCCAGGGAGTTGCAGAGCCTTGCTTCACACCTGCTCCTAAATTCGTAACCCTGAGGTGGTACGGAGAGAAGGTAACACGATAAACTCTGAATGTTTCTCCAGTTGAATTGTCCCCTCTGTAACTTTCAACATCTCCCAAAGAATGGGGTAAAGGTATGTATTAAGGGATGGAAACCTGATCAAAATTCAGATCTTTCATCCTCTTGTATTTCTTTACCCCTGACTTTGGTGAAGTTTATCGTGTTTCCTTTGGATGTATTTATTCTTAGTGCCTAAAAGAACAAATGGAGAACAACTTCTGCTCGCGGGCACGTTTTGCCCAGTGGATGCAGCTTTTATCCTCAGTCTGGTCTGTGCATCTCAGGCAGTGATCCTTAGGAGATCCACCGGTGTTCCTTGTCAGGGCCACTGACGAGCTCCAGCTGCAGCCAAAATGTCCCAGTCCTTCCGTTTGTAAAGTGCTGGTCCTGCTGGTGGCTTTCAGCATGTTAAGGTGAAGACGAACTGGGCAAGGGAGGCCTAAAATGCTGTTCCTCCAGTGAGACCCAGCGGCGGGGCAGGGCGGAGACTCCCTTCCAGTGTGTGAGGCTCTCCGTTTAGCAGGTTCTGGCGTCTCCCAGCCCAGCCATGCTGTAATGTCTGTTCTCGGTATGAAGGGGCTAGAGGGTGTGGTGGTCTCTGTAGAAATGAGGCACCTGAAGAAGCCTTTTCAAAGCAGACTTCAAAAAGGTGGGCCGTGTGGATGGACAGGGCGGAACACCACATGCCCACAGCTATTGTGGTGCGTGTGTGCGCCCAGGGCCAGTGCTTGCCCCTTCCAGAAGTGAGTACCCTGTGTCTACACTGTGCCCGTGTAGTCAGCGCATCTGGGCAGGCCGCTTCTGTCCCCAGCCCAGGTCCTGACAGCAGCTGGCTTGTGCAGAACAGGGCTGTCCTCTGCGGGGTCTGAATGCCACGCCTCCGCCCACAGGCCTTGTTTAGCCCAACAGGAGTCCCTGTGACCTCTGCAATAATGCCTTTCCTCACTCTTCAGCAATATGGCTCTGAGCTTGCACATTTGATTGTGAGTTGTGTCCATGTTTTCAGGGTTTTCAGTGCCAGTTGTACTGCAGACCACTCGTGAGTCCAGAGCTGCTCAGACGTCCCACCAGGGCAGGAGTGTACCCTTGGCCGCAGCCTCCCGGCACGGGGGGCTCAGCAGCAGGGGTGGGCGGTGGGAGTTCACGAAAGTATGGAGGAAGTATTTCTTTAAACAAAATTGGATCAAAAGTAGGTAGGCTAGGCTGTTTTCTCTTTTGGCTACTAAATTGTGCTCCACTCTTCAGTATCTTTTCTTTACTGTGTATATGAATTAGCAAGAATCTGCATCCAAAGCACTGTAGTAGGCTGTATTTGTGCGTGTGCGTGTGTGTATTTATATTTATTCTGTTAATCAGTACTTCACAAACCATTTTGAGTTGCAACAAAAAGTCTTGTAGTTTGCTCTGTCTATAGAGGCAGAAGTTACAAAGTACCAAACTCCCTGGGGATATATTTTAGAGGCGTAATTTTTGGCCTTAGCCCATGGAGCATTCATTTGTCAGTCACCACGTGATGCTATTTGAACAGCTTCTAATAGGCAAGAGAGAGAGTACCAGGACATGGCTTCTTGGCCCCTCCCTCCACTTTCCAGTTTAGCGTAAGACAAAAAGCAGGAGATTAGAAATTGTTGCCGCATCTCATTTGAGGAAAGGGGCAGAAGTTTTCTTTGAGTCCTCTTCCTGGTACATTATTAAAAGGCAAGGCCTTACCCAGCTCTCTCACTTTTAAAATATCCCTGCATGGTGCTGGGTAGTTCTAAGAACGGTGCTGGGAAGAGCCACTGTTAGACTGGGATGCAGACCCCGGATGGTTAGCTCAGGCGTCCTACTGCCACACAGTTGGCCGTCCTCCCTTGTGCCTGTGGTTTCCCTGGGTCACACCACACCCGTGCACACACCTGTGTGCTCAGATGTAGCCCACATTCCGTGTCAGACTGCAGCTGAGAGCACAGATCATTTACAGAAAACCTCCTCATGCAAGGCCAGTTGTCTAATAGAAGTGCACTGTGTCCTCAGTGGAAAAACCACGTGTAGATACCTGCAGCTCAGACCAGCTAGCAGTTTTTTTCTGAGTATGTTGGTGAAATCCGGAACGTACTTTCTAATTGTATGCTGTACTTATATATATGTACATTAATGTGTATATAGAGAAATGTAAGCTCTTTTGAATTGTGAATGTAAATATTTCTTGTAAATTGGGGCCCCACCCACTTGTTCCCTTTTCCCTTTCTTCACTTCTATTTATTCTTCTGTTGACTTCCCATATGAGATATCTTACTACTTTTTCTTTCCTGCTTAGGAAAGTATGAAAGGCTTAGTTGGGTTTGTTCGGTGAACCTCTCAGTTCATATCTTTGCCGTACAGTTCTGTCGTGTCAGTGCGCTTGCTTGTGCTTTGCGTTTTTATCACAATCACAGTCCTGTCTCTGCAACGCGTCATGTTGGAGGAGGGCACTGCAGTGCGGTGCTGATTCTGTCTGCGTGACAGGGGTGGTGGTCAGTTTGTTGTTCTCTGGAAGCCACAGTGAGTCTGATACTCTCTTGTTTCTTTTCTCTTTTCTTTCTTTCTTTCTTTTGGCTTCACAAGACTTCATTAAGCTCCTGTAACTTCTTCAGTGCATTTGGGATCAAACCTGGCACTTCAGGAAACTTGACTTGCTCCTACCCTTGCAGTTCGTTAGGTCTGCACCAAATCTCACAGTTCAGACTTTTCACCTAACATTTTTCAGATTAGAAACTTTGAATCACTGTTCATGGTCCGCTGCTGCAAATTCCCCTGTTAATTTAAGAAGTTGAGCCTGTACTTTTAACCCATGCATAACAATCACAAGTTTATTTTGCAACAGATGCAGGTAATCGATCTGCTTTGGCTATGACTTCGTTAGGGACATTTATAGTAGGTGAGGACAAGCCTGGTAGGCGAACAGCGGGTGACACTGGAGGTGTGCTGTGGGGCTGCCGCTCGGGCGCAGGCTGACTCTGCAGGGTCCCGGGACGGTTAGCGCCCACCTCTGCCCCTGCCGAGGACGGTGTTGGCAGAACCAGCCAGGAGCAGGCGCTCTGAGTGCTTCGTGTTAGCAGCAGGGAATGGTGGCCAGCACCCAGCGGTTCGTTTGCAGACGTGGCACCTTGAAGACAGTGTTTCTTGGAGCCGGGGATGTAGCTCAGTGGCACAAGCGCCTTCCTGGCAAGTGCAAGGTCCTGAGTTCGATTTCCGGTACCCAAAAAAAGAAAAGAAAATGTTTCTCTGTAATCTTCCAGAATGCCTTGAGAGCATTTCTTGGGCCTTAGTTTCGTAAAAAGTCCTGTTGATTATCAGTGAGCCTGATAGACTTGTTGAAACTTTGGGAAGTGTCGGAGCCTCATTTGTGGCGAATCGGGGTGTCACATTCTCCAGCGGCAGCCCCTCCCAGCCCAGCTTTCTGACTGCACCCGCAGAGCGGGTGGTCGGCCTGGGCGTTTGCAGCAGCGGTGCAGGGGCAGTGACGCCGAGATGTCCTTTGTGTGTAGTCGAGCAAGGGAGCAAGCCTGGGCGAGTGGGTTCTTCCTGGTCTGGCCGCTTGGTGCCGAAGGGCAGCGTGCAGGTCCCTCCGGGAGGGCGGCCCTGGAGCCGGCCCCGCCCTGACGCCGGTGAGGCCTGGGTGGCCTGGCGCTGGGGGACTTGCTGGCTGCAGCAGTGTTGAGCACTGAAGAGATTAAAGAAGCTTGAGCCTTCCCTCTGCCTCCCACTTCCTGAGACAGAGCGCTTTCTTTTACGTAGCACACTGCAGTCACCGCAGCCGGGAAAATTCATCCTGGTCTTGGTTTATACTAAATTTGCAAACTACTGGTATTACTTCCAACAACCACTTGTATCTGCCATCAACCGTGAGAGGTGGGAAGAGGTACGCTGTATCTCTGCAATAAAACTTCCGCCAGGTTCTACCTCCTTGAGCACAGGCTGTTTCCTGCGTAGGTGTAGCCCTTCCTCCCTGACGAAGCTGACATGGTGCATCTCCAGATGTCATCCTACAGAACCCAAAGACCACCCGGAGCCGAGCGGACACGGACTCCTGGGGTGTCACGTTCCCTCCTCTTCAGCCTCCCCGTCGCCGCGCTGTCGGGAGCGTCCCCGTGTCCTCTGCCGCACCGCTGCCTTCCTCTGCTGGTCCCAAGCGGCGTGCGCGTCCGGAGCGCGTGCCCTCGCCCTGTTGGTACAGAGCTTCCCTCTGAGACTGGTCTCATGCAATAAACGCGTGTGGACTGCACCCGGCAAGGAAAAACCGTCACCCATGAAGCGTAACAAATTCTGTATTTAGGTTTTTATTGTGGTTTTCGTTTTGTTCTTTGAGGGATCTTTTTGGTTTTGTTTTTGTAAAATTCTTAAATAAATTAAAGAAAATAAAGCAAGCTGCTCTTCTCTGTGTGTGCTTTTGCTGCCCCCATGGCCTGTGTGATCGCCGCCTCTCCTCTTTCCCCTGGGGAAGGTCACATGTTTCCGTGCTGCCCTCATGTTTAGAGTGCACTGCCAGCGTGCCCGCCTCAGCGCTGCCCGCCTGGCTGGGCCTGTCATCTACACAGCCGCCAAGCAGAGGGCGGCCATGAGTGCTGGACCTGCTGCCACGCGTCCCTGTGCTGAGTGTGCTTTACAGCCAGTGTCCAGCCTAAGTCCGAAGGGAGACTGAGGGGCTGGGGATTTAGCTCGGCGGCACAGCGCCTGCCTGGCAAGTGCAAGGTCCTGAGTTCGATTCCCGGTACTGGGAAAAAAACCAAAAACAAACAAGCGGAGACAGCCAGCAGCAATCCTGGTGGTTCCTGAGCGTGATGTGCGCCGGCACTGAGGAGTGTGTCTGCTCG